CGCGCCGGCGCCAGAGATGCCGCAGATTAGCGAACGCTAACCTAGCTTTGATCACGCGTTGAGAGATCTGCTCGCCCACACCTCTGCCAGCTGTTACGCAACTCCCAAGGTAGACAAAGCTTTCGACTACTTCCAGCGTGTCATTATCCGATGAAAGTACAGGGATGGGTTCCTGCCAGTCTTGCAACAACACTTTGCACTTTGAAGGTACAAATGACATACCACATGGAGTAACCTCAATTGCCAAACGGTTCAATGATTCTTGAATCGTTGGTGCGTTCTCACCCAGTAAGGCAATATCATCGGCGTACTCTAAGTCTACGACTCTGTCCCCAGGAAGAAGCTCGACGCCAGCGTTCGCTGCGTTATGTAACGCGTTTTGTAGGACATCGTCTATGGCAAAGTTGAACAGAAACGGAGAGATAGGGCAACCCTGTCGTTCACCTGCTGGTGACAGGAAACGAGGGTGAAATTCCGCCATAGGCCCTAACCTTCCCCGAGGTCTGGTGATAGAGAGCTATATAATGTATGGTTTCAGCTACACTTGAGATTTTTACTCCTAGCAGTATCGTATGTTATACAGAAACACTGAAACTGGATGAAATGTGTCGGATGGTTTGACGATACGGACACATCGGTTAAACCTCCCCCAGTGTTCCCATGTATTGCAGCATGCCAACCCCCACATTCGTATTTCTTAACCAAGCTTTTTAATAGCAACATTTTTAGAAAATGATTTTGCCAACATCCGTTGACTTCAGAAAATTCTAATAATTTTTGATCTGACTTGTTTACTGCGGCGTGACTAAATTTTGTGCGTCAAGGCTAAATGACTACCGGTCTTGGCTAAAGCACTGCGGGTTTTGGCTAAAGGATTATGGGTTGAGGCTAAAGAATTACGGGTTTCGGCTAAAGCTTGATGGGAAAAGGTATATAAGGGAAAGACGCAGTAAACCAATAAGCTTGGGCCTTGACTACTAGGTTGGATGGATTCGGGACTAAGTGGTTCACTGACTATCCAGTCAGGTTCTCGCAGTCAGTTGTGCAACGTGAATATTTATGAATTGTCGCACTCGCTTTGACCGTCTGATCAATCGAATATTCCTTCTAAATAGTTAACCGAAATTCCACATGCATTATTTCAACTCCGAAAAACGCGGCCTGGTTTCGGATTCAGAAAATAAAAAAGTATACCACAGTGTGTAAAGCAGCAATTTTATTCATGTTTTGTTGTGTTACTCTCACAGACTGAGACAAAAATGAGGTATCCGGGAGCAGGGTCATGTGGATTGAATTTCGTACCAAAGAAACGAGTAGGCCGAATGTCTCATTCGAATTAGAGGATCAAAATGAAAGCTTCGATTTGCTGCGAAAATAGTCGGAATTTGATTTAGGTTAGTTACGGATTGAATTGATGCAAAAAGCGATTTGGCATTCAAATGTACGTCATCCCATGGGAAACAGGCACTGAAAAGTATGGGAAAAAAATCGAACTGAACATGATCGTGTACATGAGAATAGTTATCACAAAATTGTATGGCACCACATCAGAATGTTGCATGTATGGGATTAGAGAACTCAGTAAATGTATGAATGGTTTCAGTTTGACATGATATATATTGGGCGCATTACACTGATACTTATAGATAAATCTCTTAAAAAATGGAGTCTGACTGGAGTTGTATGGTTGGGTTTAGATTGTGGAAACTTATCTTTGAAAGTGCCGCTCAACAAAATCATAGATAGCCACATTGTTTTAGAGCCTGGATTACAAAGCGTGATAGATTTGAATGGTAAACTCTATCAATAAAACTCAAGACTAAGGGACAACAAACGGAGGAGAAACCACCTCGCAGTGGCTAATATTGTTGGAAATAGTCCTTAATGAGAGTACCCTGATCGAAGCAAGGAGACTGGGACAAAATTTCGAAGCATTCTTATTTGAACTGTACGAATATTCTAAACACTGACTCACTCACATACAATAAATTTTCCGTATCTATTAAGTGTTTTGCACGATTTTAAGTGTACCATTTGGAGGATGAAGAGACTAGGGATGGAAAAGACTAGCTGAAGTGGATACGTGTAAGCCTACCTACCTTTACATGGTCGCGACTCAAACCTCCATTTCGAATTCATAAGTATTCTCTGTTGACTCTTCAGTCGGTTGTGAATTATCCAAGTTCGGCTCTTCGTATTCATCATCTGTGACTGCTTCCGTGGATACGGAATGCTCAATTGGTTGTTCGTGCTCGTCTGTTTCCATTACCTCCTCTTCTTCACTGTTCTCAGGAGCTCTCTCAAGAATCGAATCAGTTTCTGTTTGTGGTTCTGTCTGATTTTGTGTCGCACTGATTGTGTGTTCTGGAACTTGTGGATTCTTCGTCAACAATGGCTGGGTGGCTGATGATGTTTCTTTAGTCAGTACCGTCGTACCCGTTTGCCGCACTTCATCAGACGATTCTGAGGCCTTCGATGTCGCGTGTGGTGCTTCTCCTTCAGTACTCGTATGGATTGCATAAGGAGGAACCGACGAATGGAGGTTAGACTCATCTAACTGCGCTAGTGCATCTGTAATTAGAAAGGTCAACTCACTCGAGTCATTATTCGCAATTCTTTGACCCCTACGCAATCCTTACACTCAAATGTTCTTTATAGTATAACAGGGTAAATGGCACGGTAAATTCCATTACACAAACCTGCTACTCAAATACTTATATAAGTAGGCAAACAAAAGATTAACAAAAGCCAAGGATGCAATACTCACTTTTACTGGTCACAATTTCTTCGGCGAACCTTTGGTAAACAAAAAATACCTTCAAAATGTTATTTTTGATAAAACAATGATCACTGAGCAATAGTCAGATAAATTATGGTTTTCAACCTGTTTTACCGATCACTATTGGTGTTGGTTTATAGAAACGAATACACTGCTAAAAGTTTCCCTTTTAAAAATTAAATTGTCCTCATCAGATTGAAACAATTTCGGTTGCAGCGAATGGTTACAGATCGCGCTAAAAGATTGACGACTTTATCTCAACACCCTAAGAACTGAGTTTTGGTTCATCTAATGGGAATTTTATCTAAGTGAAATATCGGAGTGAGCAATGGGTCAACAGAAGGAGCATAAATTTGACCCTTGACAAAACAAAATACTTGGACGGTTTGGTTACATTCAATGGTTTCTTACCCTAGCAATGTTGCCAAATGCTTTCTCGTACTTTGTTGATGATGTTTTGGTAAATAAATGCTGCCGTCCGGACCTTTCAGCGCAGTAATATAGTGGTAAGTATTCCAGTTCAACGGGGGTACATCCAATTTAACGAGTAGCTGTTCCAAAAGGTTCAGAATTACCGTAACATCTTGTTTGAAAGATTGCCTCTTGTCTGTTGCGCCCTCAATAATCTAAATGAGGCGATTGAATGAATAAGGGGGGATCATTATCGTTAGTGTCAAATGATTTCACAACAGATCTATCACTATTGGAGCGGTAAATGCATTAAATTCTGACATCACGCATTGGAAGCCGCCCAACGAGCATTGTCAAACATTAAAATGAAATGCCATTCAAAGCATGATGGTTATTTCGCTAACCATCCGGTCTATGGTAGTCCAATGATCTTTATTTGATCGATTGATTTGTTTATCTCTTGTATGATAATCCTGTTGCACAATATCACAATGAACAACAGATGATGATGATCCGCCGAATGCGCGAATGTTCCAAATTATCTGATTATTTCTGGACAAAAATTGATTGTGTTATTCACGAGCCAAAATTCCCGTGACTTTCCTCTGACAACGTAAGGAACGTTCCATACACGTANTACACGTATTGAAAAACAACCTTGAAGTGTAAATGCTTTTAGAAACCAATGGCAGTTGACTAGCACAATGATAGCTCACAAAAATATCGAGAGCATGAATGATGCGGTTATTTCTACCTTTACAGATGAATAATCATGATTTATAAATCACGATGCAGATTGAGCAAAGAAAAAACGAAACCTTGTGATTTCAAGTACCTGAGAAATTCGCCTTCGTAGTTCCTACAACCAATAGTTGAAAAAGAGATTTCAAGTTTTGAAAACATAGTTTGATTTAAATTATCCTAAGCTTTCGATTTGCAAATAAATGAAGAGGTACACCAGAATAATCGAATATACGTTAGCTGTTACTGGATGCAAACAATAAATTCGAAATTTTTCCAGAAAACTCAAATTCAGCTTTAGTTATTCATAAATAACTCATTGTGTGTATGATTACCTTTTCTGTAATCGGCATTTGAAATTTGTTCAGTTCGGTCAAAAGAGCAGGGGTTACGGTGGCTTCAGTCGAACGTTTGACTGGTTCAGTAAATTCAGCATCCTTCGAGTCACTTGTCTCTTCATTATCCTCCTGTTCAAACACCTTTTCATCTTCGCTGTCTTCAGAACTGGTGTCGTCTGTTTCGTGTTTGGCTTCCAGTTCGCCCAGCTCCGGTGACAAGGCCTCGTGTTCGGTTACGTTGCTTGGTTGCAAGTCGTCAGCTACAGCTTGCCCCACCGCGGTCGGTTGTTGTTCTGTGTCTTTCAAATTGACTTTACTATGAATAAAAAATTTATTTTGATTAAAACGATGGTATATGTATTTTTTTAAGTTAGATCAAACGTCGTATAGGGAGATATATTTTCAATAAGCAGAAGATACCCAACCAATGAATACGAAAAGCAATCACTTTTCTGCCAGTGATAAATAGACCACCTCTAACTAATGCATTTGGTCAATTGTACAGGACCTTATAGCATAGCTTCTATCTTAAATAATTTGTTTTGGAAAATACAGTGTGCCTATCCCGAAATCTTCAGCAAAGTCACGGTGTAAGTTAAACCCCAAGTCATCATTTAGAACTTTTGAAATGCGCATTTGCACAAGCTCTTCCTTAAGCCAGTTTGATCTTTGCTAAATCCAAGTCAAAAGTCATAGGATTGATCTGTGTGCAAAACGCTGCCGTAAGAGATTCTCAACAGGAAAAAGGTGTTCTGTCAACGCAAATTATAAATATTTCAACAATTGTAGATATAAACAAACTGTTGACAGATCTGCAGTTTGCTTTTAGGTTAATTTGCTTCAAACTATCAAGTAGTATTTGGCGCATTACATTCACATTCGCAGTAAATTTCACTCCTATATTTATTGTACTCAGATTTGCCATATGTTTTACAAGAATGAAGTTTATTTGAATGGAAATTAGGTTTGATCAGGCTACGATACATTCATTACGTTTGGAGCCTGGTTATTGCTGTGCCACGGGGGAAAACATAAAATTAAGTCATTGACAACCAATCCTGAACAGTCCAACTTCGCATCTTGACCAAAAACAAAACTACCACCATTGGTTTGTAGTACTCAAACATTTGCACACTAAAAACGGGGGTGTTGAGGCAGTCGCACTACTTCAGCCCCATTCTAGAAAACAGAAATAAATAGAAAACATTGAGTGTGATGTGAGCTAAGTTGTCATCATTACAAGAACTGCAACCCCAATTGTTTGCCTCAAACCTGTCCGTCTGAAATTCTGACTTACAACTCTCAGGCCAAGCATCAATAAACGATAAATGGTAAATTCTTACTTACATAAATTGTATCAGTATAAATTGAAATAATGGAAAGCAGTTTTCTCTCCAACAATTGTTTTCAGGGCAACAATGTGAATTTTCCCAAATAAGAAGCATGCAAAATGGTCCTGCCTAATGTTACTTTTCACAACTGAGATCTGAATCTAGAGTTCCTCGAATGAGCTAAAAAGAGCAGAATCGGAGATTAAATTGATGAAACGGAGCATGTAACTGGTTGAATTCGGTACAACTGTTGGAAGCTGAACAGTTAACTGATTGTACGCGTACAATAATGCTTTCATAACTGTGTCTTTATGTACGTGAATAATTGATGGCATTTGCTCAAAAACGGAAGATTCCAGATTCCAATCATAATCAAATATCTAGCGGTTAAAATCTCCCAAACACCGAGTGCTAATGATGATACTGGTCCAGGCTAAGTGTCTTTCAGGCTTCAGCCTCGCGCACAGTTCTCAGTTCATATAGTCAACCATACACCCAGTCAGAACTATAGATTAGAGTCTGACTCTCATTAGAGCTCGTCATTATTGTGTATCCACTGTGTTTTTTCTGGGATTTGAACTCCGGACTCACTGTACCAACCCACTCACACCGTGGCTCACCAAAATCATCACTTCAAGTCTTTTCAGATGGTAGTCGATCGGGTCATTTGGTGGGACAGTGAGCTAAATGTGTATGCAATGATTGAGTTTTCTCTAATACAGTATTCACTATTATATGAATTCTTTAGGTTCAACCTATATGAGGGTCACTTCATTAGATGAGATAGAACAATTACTTATCCAAATCCTGTTTGTTTAGCTATTATTTTTGTCATAATACTTAGATAGAGTTTATTTCCATTCAGGTACATATATATATATCCCAAATGCTGACATGAGGTGAAATTTTTGCATAACAGATGGAAACAAGGTTACTTTGACTGATTTACCTGGTTTCAGACTTTTTGGTAACTGATTGCGGCCTTTCCTTTTGGTCTCCGTCGACTGACTCAATCTCGTGGAGTGGACTACATAAAATACCGGAGGTGACCAAAATCAGGAGCAGGAGGGAAATCCAAAAAAGTCTGCGCATCTTGAAAGTCTGATCATTGGTAATGAGGGTGGGATGCGAGAGTATATTATTCGTAGGATAAAAAATAACAGAAAAAGATGTTCAAGAAAATGGAATATTTTGCATTTAACTCACAGTTACTTATGAGTTTTGGCTTGGAATAACCGATACTGATTTGAACTGATCGTCCTTCATTCTTAACCCTCACGCCCAATGCTCTACTTTTCCAGTCAACCATACACTCGGAAGTACTCGAAGCTAGTACTTCCGAATCTATGGTTGACTGAAAGAAGATTAAATGAGAAGAATCATCAATTCAAATCACAATAGAACATAATTGCAATCAAAGTTTTCTTCCTTATTTATAACTCCAAACGCCGCATTGTTTCCCAACATGTTTTTTCAACTATTCTGTTTTAAATAGCCAATGGGAATTATAGTTCATCTAAAATAAAGCAAAAACTATCACAATCATACCGTTTCGACCCTCTCTTTATCTTGAAACAGTGACATGAAGTTTCATTTTACAGATATAGGTATGACCACAAAGTCACGAGAATAACATCTGTTATTGAACTCTCACCTCTGAACTTCAGACTCGAAACGAATGACGACTATACGCCAGGAGGCGGAAGCTAATCATCATCAGATCTATTAATCGTTCTTTATTATTGTTAAAACAATCATAGAACATCGTCAAGGTTCATGAGATGTACTTTTTAATGCTTGCATTTTTAATCAGCTCTTCAAAGTGGTTAGATAAATGGGTGGGTCAGTATGAACCTATACATCTCAGTTCCCTGAAACAAACATTCACTTACCGTGTATACTCGTGCTTTCGCCTTCAGAGTTCGTCAGCCGATGACCAAAGCAGTCGCGTTAGGGGCTTATATATATTTTTCTCTACAGCTGTCCTTGACATTCTGTTTGGCAAGTCCAATTGGTCAACAAATATTGGTCATGAGACTGATGCAAACGCTTGTGCGCAAATCACGCAAAACCGTGTGTGTGGGTGTGTGGGTCTAGGTTCACCAGTTGGCACAGGACTCTGTAAAAATAACTCTGAGATGTTAAAAAGCTCATTGAAAAACTGTTCGTCTCCGTTTGCTGCAACTGACCTGAGAACCCGTTTAATTTTTCCCGTGGACTTTGATTAGATACACCTTAAAGTGTTGCGTTCCGCCGGCCAAGTGTAAGAAACGAAGCGTGTTTGCATGTTCGCTTGCGCGCGTGTGCACCNGGGGGGGGGGGACAAACGCAGTCCGAGTTCTGACGCTCAGCTGGTCTTGTATCAAATTGCGTTTGATTTTGCGCGCAAACAAACAAGACCGCGTACTCATTGGTCCCTAATTTGGTGAGCCAAATATGGAAACACACTCGCCATTGCCTTCGCGTTCAGAATCAGGAAACTGGCCTGTACAGTAGCATCGCAATTGTGGTTGGAATGCTATTTTCTGGTTACGCGATGGTAAATGAAAACGTAACGTTCAATGAAATATTTTGAAAAAATGTGTGAAAATATCGGTATTTAGTTTCAGTTTCTCTGGACAGGGTTTTCTGTTTGACAATAAAATTTTAATATTCTCTCTAACACTCAGATGGATAAAGCTCAACCAGATTGATTAGCTTATCTTTTTACACATTNNNCTAAATGCCGGATTATTGGAAACATTCGATAATCATGATAAAGAATGTGAGCGGTGTTGTTTGCTCCCTGAATGTCATCATCACGTCATTGCCAGGCCATGATTGTCTCATCAGCTGGAAATTCCCTTAGGAGTGGGTGATAGTTCCTAGCTCCATCCTCCGAACTTAGTTCTAGTATTGTACATTCACTAAAATAAATTGATATTGTTTTTATTAATGAGGGAAACAGATCGATGGACAAAAATTTACACCAAATCAGTAACGTACTGGTTTGGTTTACATTTTTTAATTTTGCTTTTATTACATACAGAATCGTACAAATAGTTTTGCAAAAGAACGGACGCTGACAATAAAATAGCTGCTGGTGGAAATAAATGTAGAACTTTCTGTGGTAGTTGTTGTGTTTAAAGACAAAACTTCCGGGATTAAAACTTCGTGACACTGACCGCCTCATCACCGCTACTTATCTAATACTTATCTTATCTAATAGGTTTAAACTTATGTGATGGAGGTTGCAGTTTCATCTTAGTTAAAGAGAGATAAATGCATTATTCGGATAAAATCTTTTCCCTAATGCATCACTCAATTTGGATAGACCAATAAATATGAGTGTGCCAACCACTCAAAAATAGAAATTTTCAAGCGACACATTAGTTCTTAATTTACACGTGAAGTTTTCAAATAATGAACATAAAGTGTCCGACCATGGGTTGTTTTCCCAATGATCAATATCTCTGGTGGAGATAACATTGAGCTGATTACGTAATTCAGTCCGGTCCAAACAAACTACCTCCCACGCACAGGCGTGGTTTCCCCCAGAAACACATTAGTACTATTCGGTTTGTAGACAAATAAATCCCTCATCATTGATGAACAGCACTAGCACCAGTAAACTTTAATGTTTGATCTCACCAGCCGTTAACCCTTTTTTCGGCAGCGGTAATCAAATGGCTTAAGTTGTGAGCTTATTCATTGGTTATTTGCTGCTATATTTAACGACTGGTTGCCACATAAATAACCCGTCGGTTTCTATCGTTTGTAAGTTTTTCTTTCGAAATTAACTTAATGTTATTCTAGATCAGCTGACAGAATAACACATATCAATACGATCATTTATG